TTAAATTTCAAAAACAGTACAGATCAAGCACATCAATAAACACATGAAAATCTTGAAAATGAACGGCCTAGATAACTTGTTAGAAGATGCACTATTTTTTAGACTTGGAGTCTCTTTTTCTCTTCATGTCCATATACCTCGAGATCGAGATGATCAATTGAAGGGCTCTCCGATGCATTGAAAAAAAAAAATATAAAGCTATTGAAAAATGAAAAATAAAGATTATGAAATTTCATTATTAGGATGGCAAGACATTTTTATTAGAATATGAGAATCATTAGGATGGTAAGACATGGCAAGACATATTTTTATACAATGATAAAATTTGAAGCCGCACCTTACCTCTACCACTACGGATGCATCCGTAGATATGTTTTCCAATACAGACCAATATAGACGTAATTTCACCACGACTTTTTAGCAAATAACGCGTGAAGACCTTGACTTATGCATTACCACATGTTTAAAGTGGTTGGCAAAATGACAAATATGTCTTCGTCTATGGAGAAAACAACTCCCAACAATTTATGAAATTATCTATCCAATGAAGACAAATGAATTTAAATGGTTTGAAAATAAATATAAAAATAAGGAGTACATTGTATTGTTATTCTGTTTGGCAAAGGAGCTGGGCCTTTTTAATTATAAACTATGAGATCCACTTGAGAACCACCTAATGCCTTTTTCTCTCTTTTTTTTTTTTTTTTTTGGTGTGAGTCAGTGGGGAGTGGGCCCCGTTCTTGCTAGGAGTTGAACTTAGGACATAGCAGTATAAATCGTCAAGCGGTTTACAATCAAGTAGATCTATAAACACTTGAAAATCTTTTAAATGGACAGTAGAGATAACTCGTTGCAAGATACATTATTTTTATGACTTAAAAATCATTTTTTCATTACATATTTATATATCTCCATGTCGAGATGATCAATTAGATGGTTTTCCAATACTAAAACACACCTTTTTATAATGGATTTGCACCTTAATCCTACAACTTAAAAGTGCAACCTTATATAATTTTTTTCCTCATGCTAATTAATGCCCGAAGATAAAACAAAACCATAAACTTCGGTGGTTCCTAAGGTTTATACCTATGTTAATTCTAAGACGACCCAAACTTATCTATCACCAATCACTATCAAATTAGAACTTTCTAATAACTCGTAAAATACCCATGTAATTTATCTTTCAAAGTTTGAACCTATCAACCTTTAATGGGACAATTAAAGTGGTAACAACCTTGCCCTCAACTACACTTGTGCTTTATATTCTACAATTATTATAGTTATGAGAAAGTATATAATGAGGTCATTTACCTTTGATATAAGATGGTCTCAATTAATCATGGTCATTGGATGTGAAATTGGGTGGTTGCATTTATTTCATTGATTAAGCCGTTTGATTTGAATCGAGGGTTGTATAAAGCACAAGTAACTCTTATTACATGCGTGCAATTTAAATCGATTGTTGGGATTGTTTCAATTATAATTTCATATTTAATAATGCTTTATTTTTCATTTAATGGCTTTATTTTATTTTTTTCAATGAATATGGCATAAAATTGGGGTGTGCCCACTCAATAAAATGAATTTCATTATTAGGATGGCAAGACATATTTTTATTAGAATATGAGAATCATTAGGATGGTAAGACATGGCAAGACAAAAGGTTTCTAAAAGATATTAGAAATAGATATTTGGGGAAATTTATAGAATATATTTAACATGTCAATTGGTTAATATTTTACTCGTTTTTAACTATTCCAAATCATAATCGTAGGTATTTGGCAAAAATAGGTAAGTATTAAATAATTCAGGTGAATTTTGATAAAATTTCGTTTCTTTCTTTATTCTAGACATGGTGTAGATGGAATACTGGATATGACATTGTGGAATCGCCACCCGGACAACTTCTCCCAAGAGCTCGATACCAATATTACAATTAAAAATTTTCCTTCGAGAAAAATCTTTAATCTAATACGACAAGGTAGAAGCACCCCTGCAAGAAAAATTATCTTTTCTTTTCACTCAATCCTTTAGATAAAATTCTCGAAGTTTTTCAGCCAAATAATAATACATCTCCCTCAAAACTCTTTAATAACAAGTATTTAAGCAAACTCAAAACTTGAAAAACTCTTAGGAAACCATTCTTTTTAATTTTAGCCCTTCATTATTAATTTAAATGGCTAACCTTGCCCCTAATAATGGTCTTCGGAATTACAAACTTTTGGTTATGCTGGGCATGGCCGCATCAATTTTTTTTATGTAATTTTTCTCCCTCAAAATAATATATAACATGTAAATTCTGTAGCGCATGATTTGCTTCGAATTCATTTTCTTTTAAAATTATAAGTGTGGTTTTGCATAATATTCTTTCCATATAATTTCCCTCTATCAAAAAATACGAACCACATTTAAATAATTGAAATCTATTTTTCTCTTACACATTCAAAGAATTAAATGCATTTTCTTTTTAAAAAAAACTAAAGTGTAGTATTGGAGAATATTGATTTTTTCTAGAGAAAATTACAAATAACCCTCAATAATAGATTTCCTATGCAACTTACCCCTAACCAAACTTTTTTTTCTCACTTTTTACCCCAAATTTAAGTTTCCTAGCAAATACCCCCCAGTCAGAAAAAAAATACAAAAAAGATCAAATTAAGATCAAAATACCCTCTGGAAAGCATGTGGTCCAGCACAAAATGGGGACATCCGGTACTTTGCTTCTGGACAGCATGTTGTCCGACACAAAATAAGGGTGGTCTGGTGCTTTGGGTTTGTGGTCCGACACAAAATGGGGGCGGTCCGGCACTTTGCTTTTGAAAAACATGTGGTCTGACACAAAATAAGGGCGGTCCGACACTTTGGACATGCGGTCCGACACAAAATAGGGGCGGTCCGGCACTTTGAACTTTTTAAAAGCATGCGGCCCAACATAAAATAGGGGCCATCCGGCACTTTGGGCTTTTGGAAAGCATGCAGCCCGACATAAAATAGGGGCGGTCCGGCGCATTGGGCATGCGGTCCAGCACAAAATGAGGTGGTTCGGCACTATGGCATTTTCGTCCAAAAAATATGAGTTTTTGACTTGGGGGGTGTATGTTAGACTTGGGGTAAAAGTTGGGGTAAAAATTGTTAAATAAGACTTTGTTGGGGATAGGATGTCTAGAAGTATCCTTCTAGGTTTTTTTTTTTTTTAGTAATTTTTCCTTTTATTCTACCGAATATCAGATTTTTTAACTTTGAAACTGAATTTTACCACCCAATACCAAATATATAAATGTTAATTATCACACCCACTACCAAATTTTTACTATGGAAATTAAATACCAAAGTTCACTATGAACCCAAAAAAATAAAACTGAAACTCCTAGCCAAGCATCAATGAAATTCTAAATAAAACTTGGTGCCCATTGTTTATATGAAAGTTTTACTCAAGTATCATATAAAAACTTAATTTTTAGTTAAAAGTTTTCCTCAATCCCAAGTCTAGCTCCATCTTAAACTTTCAATACAATTGCATATAAGAAGGATGGGAGGAAGCGTTTCTATGTGTCCCCGAACTCACATGTGCATGCTGGGCACCTTCTAAAATCTATCTTAAAGATGGATTTAGATTCAAACTTTTAAAAGATGCATCATTAGCTATGATAATCTTAAACATGGAATTTTTTAAGGGTATTTAAATTTAAAATTTATTATTTAAAATTTTTAAAACAAAAGCAAATGTTCTATTGGATGGCCATAAGTCTAACCGTGCTTTATGGGACAAATTATTGCACCTATTTTACAAGTGCAACTAAGATAAGAATGTTGAGATGGATGAGTGATAAGATAAGAAAGAGTAAAATTTAGAATGAACATATATGATGGAACTTAGGGGTAGTTCCAATAGACGATGAGATGAAGAAAAATAGACTTAAATGGTCTTACCACATGTGGCATCAACCTAGAACAATACCAGTCGAGAAGGGTAATAAGGCTCGAAAGGAATGGATGGAAGTAGTGAGAAAATATATGATGCTCTTCTGGTCTGACTAAGGGTATATCCTTCGATAGAACAGAACGGTAAAACATGATTTGTCTAACTAACCCCAATAAATTGGGATAAGGTTGGATGATCATAATAATAATGATTTTAAAAAAATATTTTTTGGACGTTTTATTTAGGTCCATTTCCTTTTTCAACATCCTCACGAGTCGAACTACTTTTCCTTCTAAAAATATTGGAAGAAAATTGTTATGAGTATTAGATTGTTTATTATGAGACCATTTATTTTTTGTACAAGAAAGTCACAATAACTTTTGACAATGGGATTAGAAATCCAACAAATGTAAATGAGGCACAACATTCGAGAAATTTTATTTTGAACTTGTGCCCTAATAATAACACATTCTCAACCACTTAATTTCAAATCTAATGGTCATGATTGTGACCTCCTTGTATTAAAAATAAATTGTGTCATTATATACATTTTCTTAACAAAAATATTGAAAGAAAACTGTTAGTATCACAACATGGTTTTCTAATTGCGGTTATAGAGCTGTTAGTATCTCTTCATGGTTATCTTGTTGAGTATATGACATGCATGGTTAGCAAGTCTTCGCTTAAAACACCACATCTTTAGGAAATCGCATTTTTTTTAATGGAATTGATATAAATTTGTATTTTATCTATTTTAAAATAAAACTTTTCAAAAAAAAAAATTTCTTCCCTACAACTTTATTTCTACATTAACTTAATAGTCTTTAATTTAAATATAAAGATAAGCACATGAACAGTGGGAATAAATTAAGAATCTTGATTTAAAAAAAATTTCTACGAAAAATTTCACCAATGGATTCCTATAAAAAAGTGTAAAAAAAAATATAAGCGATATATTCCTAAAGTTTAAATACCACCAACAAACCAAAAGCAAGAAAAATAAAAATAGAAAGAAATAATGCAAAAAAACACCTGAAGTTTACATGGTTCATATGTAAGTACATCCATAAGTAAAGAAGATCAATAGATTTTTCACTAATCAAATAAAATAAAATTACAAGATGCCTAGAAAATTTAATATCTCATTAAGTCTAGCTCAACATTTTTTTTATTTTTTTTTTATTTTTCGCTTGTGGGAAAAAAACCATGACTAAAGTGTAGGGGAACTACTACCACGCCTCTCACCAGGACCCATCCCAATATCTTTATACAATTCCCCTCTCTGTACCCAAGGATTCTCTGAGCAACTTCCTGTGCATCTCTCTCTCTAAAGCAATATGAAATAGAGTTAGAAAGACAGGGATGGAAAGGATCGCCTTCGAACTAAAGTATGCACCCTGTTAATAGCAGATTTGAGATCACCTGGCCTGTCTACCAATCCTTCCCCAATGCACCAATTTACAAGTTCATATTCCCCTATAGATTCGTCTTCAGGGTATAAAGCGCAATACAAGAAGAGAGATCCAAGATCATCATCGTTTAATTTATCATAACTGAACTTTAAGCCGCTAAATACGTATTCATCCATACCTCTAACACCAATGCCCGACTGTTTCAACTCTTCTTGTTGGGCATCCTCCTACTCCTCTACTCTCAATTGGTTTGCTATGACTCATGCAATCGTGATGATCGCCGGGGGCTACCCATCACAACATTCAATACATAGCTTAGGCTGACTCATGCAACCGTTATGATCGCCAGGGGCTACCCATCACAACATTCAATACATAGCTACGGCAACTGGTTTTATTGTTGGCAAGGTAGCATGTGAACCTGATTTCTCAACAAATAGAGCCCATGGTAGCATGTGAACCTGATTTCTCAACAAATAGAGCCCATGCTTCCTCCTTTGAGCGTGGTGCTACTAGGATCGCCAGCTTGGCATCCATGTCACTGCAAAACATCTCGGCTTAGACTGGTTAAGAGAATCTTGCACCCATTCTCAATTGTTGGTTGAGGAATTCCGACATCTTCGAGTGACAAAGATTTCCCCATGTCATCTTCGTTCTTCTCAACTTACTCAGTAGCTTCTCCCGGGTCGTCTCATAACTGCAATTCGACAAATCCAGAAGACCCAATCGCTCTCCAATCCTCTTCTGCAAGCCTGATAGATCTGGATTGCTAGACACAGTGACCCATATCACAATATCAAAATTAGTATTTGACTGCAATTGATTGTTTACCTCTTTGGCAAGAGTTGTTTTACCTGCTCCTCCCATACCGTACACTCCGATGATCCCGATTTGGTCGTCATGTATGCAGTCGAGAACCTCTTGTAATGCTTTTCGAGCAATAGGTTGGCCTGGGATGGGCGTGGTTTCGAACTGTACAGCACGCTCTGGAGGTGGAGAGATAGACAATGGACCAATCTCCATTTCTAACTTGCAGTCGACATCTTCCACGAGATTGACAGCTCTCTTGCTCAGTTTGTAACGGGACCAACAATCTACTCACACGCCTCTTAGACATGTCTTTCCTTGCTCATACTCATCTTTAATTCGAACGGCTTCTGCTTCGATTACACTGACTGAATTCAGCCATTCTTCGACTCGCGCTGTTTGGTTTCTTCCGTCTCTCCTAGCTGCTGCTGCTAGGGCACTATCTGTGTCATTCTTTTTGCTTGTTAGCTCTCTCGTTTTGCTTTCCAGTTTCTCAATATTCTTCCTCAATCGCACTAAATAACAGATCTGCCCAATACAGGGGTCAAACACGTATTTTGTAACGAAATCTGCAACTGGGTTTATGAAAGCCATGAGTGAGAGTGCAAGGATGAGCCTTTTTTTTGGAGAAAGTAATCTTAGTGGAAGATGAAACAATTCGGTGGATGCAAGATTCTACTGCTCAGTAAGATTAGAGAGAGATAGATACAAGCAAAGCAAAGTGGCCCTAGTAGATTGAGAAGAGAGTATTAGAATGGATTGTTAGAAGTGAGGAAGAGGGCAGGAGAAATTTAAAGGGAAAGTAGATGAAGAAAATGATGGTGTAGTTTGAGAGAGAGAGAGGGAACAGCGGTCAAACAATATTCAAGCATGGGTGGCCTTATTCTTTGCACTTTGGTAGCGGGAGCCTCGCCACGTTTGAAATGCTTGGCCTGGAGGGGAAAAAAGTTGAATGAATTCATTAAAGTGGAGCTTCATCTTATAAAATAAAACAATTTATTGAGGTTAGTTTTTGTCGTCAAAAGTGAATAAACGTGGGAGATAATAGATAAGGATGGTACGGTGAAGTACTTGAGGGTCTTATTTTATGTCGCTTGAAAGAAAAATAAAAGGATCTACCGTGAAATAAACTGTGGAATTAAAGGTTGTATGAAATTTTCCCAACAAAATATATAAGGAACAAGTTTACATAATGTTGCAATTTTAAAATGTAAAATTACATATGCACCGCAAAACTCCATTCGAAAAGATTGTTTTAATGTTGAAAAACTCTCTAATTGACCATTGAGATGCATGAAAATGCAAAAAAAAAATTTGAGTCAAAAAAATAGTATTTCAAGATTTTCAAGATAATGTTGAAACACATTATCTACACCGTTCATTTTCAAGATTTTCATATATCAGTTTGATTATAACCATTTTTGGAGTTTAAAATTTATAATTAGATATAACAATAGGATTTTAGATAATCCTATGATTTAAAACACTAAAATCGCATGTTATTGTGCGCTAATTGTATCGTTTGCAACCTTATAGAAACCACACCAAATATATAAAGATCAGAATTAAAAATAAAGTTTTAAAACCTTGAATAATTCTGAAAATAATTGTCTTGTAATAAAAATATTTTAATACAATTTGTAGGCCTATATGGCCGACTTGTTGATAAAATTAGTGCGAGTCTCAATTCAATATTGGCAATTCTGCCTTATAATCTCCTAGCGCCCCAGATAAAAGTGGGCCTCAATTCCAATAAAAGAAGACAAAAAGCACATAATTGTTTGATAAAAGAAATTATCCCATTCAATTGTTCATTACCCCATGTCCTGCCATATTTTTTCCTTTCTTCTCTCCTTCCTTCCTGTTGACTTGTTATTTATGTATAGAATTGTATAATCTAACGCCGTTCACATTTTGTTCTAAGGAGATTATATATAACTCAAGCGATCCTATTTTAAATTGGACCGCTTTGGTAAGAGAAACCAAAAAATACTTTTTAAAATATCGAACTTATCAATCACACTTATAACCACCCACCCAATTTGAAATCTGATGGACAATAATAATTGTATTTTTCTTATATCAAAAGTAAATGATCTTTTTTTACTCTCTATTAAAGGCAAGTCATCTTATTTCAACTTTGACAACTTTAATTACATTACAAAGTCTGAGAAAAATAATTAATTTTAAACGTTGACTATTAACACATTTCTAACCACCCGCTTTAGAATCAGACAAACGAAAGTATTTGTGATTTCTTTATATAAAAAATAAATAATTTCTTTACAAATTTACCCTTTTTTTTCAAAAAGTGAATTTGTAGCACCACCAAGGTGCACGCCCAAATTTGGACAGATGTAGGTTACAGTGTTGGAGACTATATGAAGCAGATAGCTTGACAATCGATATTCAGCAATAATTATGAAATTTAAATTCAAAAACATAACAAATCGACTAGATCCATAAACACTTTAAAAATCATAATAATAGCTAAATCACTTATTATAAGATGTATTATTTTTAAAACAAATTCTTTTTTGAAAAAGTGGACAAAGAAACCATTTCGACAAAGTTTTCAAAAATGTCACCATCACTCGTCCATCAAATTGTGGTTATAAATGTGTTGTTCATTAAGTTCAAAATTCAAAATTCAAATAGAAATTCTCGTAAATCAATTTGTCCAAATATGAAATCAGTTGGCTTGAGGTATTTGTGAATTCTTTGACAAAGGTGAATGGTCTCTCAATATATACAATGCCACATCAATTCAATGAGCTCCAATACCCCGACTGGGCATTTTGGTAAGCAACAAACATATGATAACTGTTACAGTTTCACACACAAGCTAATCCCAAATCCCATTAACACCATAAGAATAAAAGATCAATATAGTCAAATAATTCTTAACACAAAATTGAGCTCGTCACTTGAACCAATAAATCCTCCGATAACAAAACCAAAAACATTTATAGAGAGAGAAAGGCACAACAAGATTTCAGAATTACTGGAAAACTTGGGAAGATTGGAAAGGGAACTCAACGCTTCTTCGAGACACCGACAGTCTTCCCCCTGCGACCAGTGGTCTTTGTGTGCTGACCCCTGACCCTCAGACCCCAATGGTGCCTTAACCCACGGTGGTTCCTGCACAATTCAACATTAAGAAGCACTAGATTAAGAAAAAATGAGTCTCATTTTGTAAGCAAAAGTCAGTTAAGAATACAATCAATTAGCGATGAGATGGATTCGAATGAGCACCAACGTAAGGCGTAAAGCCAAAATGCGGCATATGAACTACCATAATAGGTATGTATGAAATGATTTTCATGATCATGACAGCAAACACGCAACTTCACAGAGGGAGACACAAACAGAGACTACAAGAGCTTCTGGTATTGAGACAGTTAATGGGGTTTAAAAGCTTTTGATGGATTCTGTTAGTGAAGAACAGGACCCAGGGTTTCTGTACACAAAACACAGTATTCAAGAGACCAAATTTTGCGCCCCAACTTATACTGGTCACCAGCACGACGAGTATTCCAAACACAATTAACTCCAACACTTAAACTCTACTGATGAAACGATGTGATAAGACAGTATACTCTCTCAATGATCAACAAAGAGAGTGAAAAGACATCATGACTCATGGAACCAGTATCATTGAGAACAAAATACCATATTTCATCTTTTTGACGTATCATTATATGCAGTAATAACACACAAACATAAAACAGATAAATAAGTGAGAACGCATAGTTATGATGAAATATATTCGTGATTGGGGATTGAAAATGCAGAAAATAAGAAAGGAGGGGAACTTTTCATAACAATGTACAAACATGAGGAAAGAAAAATCCAATTTCCTGGATAGTAATCATGCTTAAGATTACATGTAAAATAACCCTAAACAGGAGAAAAAAACTACAAACGACATCTAGAAATCCGACAAGCTCTACCATGTCATCTAAATGGGAAAAAACCACTTCTAACATTTTCTTTTTGGGTTATTGAAACCGTTGACACCTACCAATGTAACTAGTTACATGAAAGTAGAAAAATGCAAACGAATCGCTTCTCTCAGACAAATGCCTCGAATTACATCAAGGAGGTCAGACTCGTCATTAAATTTTGACATCATAGAGAAACCCATTTGAAAAGGCACAAGTCATATAAGCAAAATACTTATAGCATTATAACCATTAAGGATTCATAGATAGATAATCACTTGATCTCACTGTAAAAAATCACAATATAACTGCAATTACCTATTTTAAAAGGACATTTGTCTGCGCGCTGAGGCTCAAAATGGCTATTTCAAATCAATATATTACTTTAAATTAATTGTGATGGTATTAACAACAGAAAGCGGACAATACTCTCACTGGCAAAACAAAAAAAATGAATTTAGCTCAAAATGCATGATTGAAAATTTTCTGCCAGACCTAGTAAGGCCTCATAATGAGCTGGGTATATCATAATCATCACCGCCAAAAAAACAGACAAGAAGACAAAAACAATTCTTTAAATTCCAATAATAGAAAACAAAGAAAAGCAATCAGCAATCAGCAATCTAGTCAACTGGTAATAAGGGAAGGTAAAATGTATGGGATTTTTCTCTAAGACAAAAGCCTCAGGTTGCATCAAAATACATATAACACGTCAGCCTTGAAATCAATTTGACATCATTGAGAAACCCGTTTCAGCCAACATTAACATCCAAGAAAACAACTCATCCTTAAAACTTTTTTCCGGGCGTATATTTCTCCCCCTATTTGACTTAAGCAAGAATAACCACAAAAAGGTATTCCTTGACAGTTGTCAACGCAAAAAAACCACAGTACATAACACATCCACAGGCGAATCCCAAACTCCAGAGATGAAGTTTGTGGCTCGAGAAATAATATTCTCTGAAAAATATGCTAACTAGTTAGTTACATGAAAGTAGAAAATACAAATGAAAGGCCCCCTCAGACAAATGCCTAGAATTACGTCAAGGATGTCAGACTCGTCATAAACTTTGCCATCACAGACCATTTAAGGAACCACGAGTCATATAAGTATAATGCACAGCATTATAACCATTAAGGATTCATAGATAGATAATCACTTGATCCCACTGTAATAAATCACAATAGAACCGCAATGACCTATTTTAAAAGGGATGTGTCTACACGATGGGGCTTAGAAAGGCTATTTCAAATCAACACATGACTTTAAATTAATTGTGATGGTATAAACAGCAGAAAGAGGACAATTCTCTCAATGGCAAAACAAAAAGATTGAATTTAGCTCAGAAATGTGAATGAAAATTTTCTCCCAGACCTAGTGTAAGGCCTCAAGATGAGCTGGGTATATCACAGTCATCACCGCCAAAAAAAACACACAAGAAGCAAAAACACAATTCTCTAAATTCCATTAATAGAAAACAAGAAAAAAAACATAGGCAATCTAGCAAACCGGTAATAAGGGAAGCTAAAATGTATGGAATTTTTCTCTCAGACAAATGCCTCAAGTTGCATCAAATTATAAAAACATGTCAGACTCGTCATCGATTTGACATCATTGAGAAAACCCATTTTAGCCAACACTAACATAAAAAGATAAACAACTCACCCTAAAACTTTTTTTCGAGGAAATTTTTTTCCCCTATTTGACTTAAACAAGAATAACCCAAAAAACGTATTCCTTGAAAGTTGTCAAAGCAAAAGACCACAGTACATAACACATTATCCACCAATGGAACCCACACTCCCAAGATAAAGTTTGTGACTCCATAAATAATATTGTCTGAGAAATATGTTAATATTATAGGAATGGCCAATTCCAACTCAACTAAATTATTACACAATGAGGTAACTAATTTTTCTAAAATTGAAATAACAAAATTGAATTTCTACACGAAAGACGTCTAGGAAACATTCCCTCAGTTACATCAAAAAAATCATCATCATGTCAGTATTAGCATGGTTAATAATAGGACAATCATTGGGAACAAAGTCACAAAAAAACGAGCAAAAGAAGCAGTCTACAAAATTGAAAAACAAAAATTGAATTTCTCTAAAACTGAATAACAAAATTGAACTTCTGCAAGAAAGACGTATAGGAAACGTTCCCTCAGTTACATCGAAAAAAACATCATCATTTCAGTATTAGCATGGTTAATAATAGGACCATCATTGGGAACAAACTCACAAAAAAAAAGAAGAAAAAGCAGTATACAGTATAGTTGCTCTCAGACTCCATGATGGGATCTTTTCCCAGACCTCGGAAGGTCTCATAATGAGCTGGGATTATCACAATCATCCTCGAGCAATTTCTTTTAGAGAAAGAATATGAAGCGATAATAACTCCAGAAAACTGAAAAGAGGTAAAAACACAAAAAATAACAAGAAACACCACCGGAATCATAGCAAATTAGTGATCAGACTCATCCTCAATCAGGTGCCACAAAAAATTCCACTTATCAATGATAAATTCAGGAGAAATAAACATGAGAACACCACAAAAAAAAAAAAAGGGGAACAGAAGCCCAGAAAACAAACGGGCAAGAGAACATATATTCACATCAGATAATGATAGTTCAAGTGGGGAAACATGACTAACATGAACTTCCCTTGTATCAAGCACTTCCATTCCACAAAGGAATGGAGAATTAAAAAACAGAACACTAAGTCTCCTACGGCTATACAAAATGAAACACAGAATAAAAGATCCAACAAAGAAATGTTGTGTTCCTTTTGAATTTGAACAAATAATTGTCAGGCTTGAATGCTTTTAAAAAATAGAACTGCCACTCACTAAAGGAATTATTAATAAAATGGATAAAATGAAAATAATATGATCATTCTAAGATAAATAGATTAATTGTATTCCTTGATTAATTGTAATGCATGGATATAGCAGGTAAGAGCTGAAACAACTGCTTTTTTGAGACAACCATGTTGTGAATACATTTTCACATTAAAGAATGTTGAGCGCATAGGGAGTTGAGCGCATAGCGAATACATTTTCACATTAAAGAATGTTGAACGCATAGGGAGTGCGGAATATTGGAATATCACGGCAGATTGTGATGATCCACCATTCGAAAGAAAGTGTGAGGGCTGTGTCCAACTCCAGTTCCCCTGCACATTCCATATGTTTCAAATTCCTTTTTCTACAAATATGGACGAATAAATATTATGGACAAGCTACGATAAGGACAACCTGATCATTAAGAGTCATAATGACTTCAATATCTCTGAGACCCAACTACATGACGTAGAGTGTCACTGGAAAAGTTTACAATGATGTGTCATACCACCAGAAATTCCTAACGGCAGGAAGTAGAGTGTCATTGGAAAAGTTTTCAGGGACATCATAACTCGAGAAATTGAGGCATGCTTTCTTTCTTTTAGATTGAAAAGTAAGAGTATAGTCCTGAAACTACAGTACACTAATATGACGTACCATTTCTGACATTGTTCATTCCCAGATTAGACACATTAAAAATAAAGATAACATTGAATGGAATCAAAGGCCAAAATCACAACGCATTAATATCTAAAGAGTAGGAAACTCATAATATAAAGGACAACAACATCAGAATGTTTTGGTAAACTTCCAAGTGCCAACCAAAAAAGACAATCAAGGATGGTCAATAAAAACTTCAGTTCAAAAAACACCGCATGGGGTTCCAGTTTGATAAAACCAAACTAAGAAACTTTGGTTATGGATTATTCAACCAACCATCATTCTTTAGTTACAAAATGCAACAAAAAGATTTCATAAATCCCCTAATAAAAAAACTCAATAAAGAAACACAAATAATGTAGGCATCAATAGAACAAGAATGTCAAAATCAACACTTATCATATCACCATAACAGAAAATAGGAATAATTGTAAAATTTGATATCAAACCTAGTCATGAGTGCAAATCAATTTTAATTTATCATTGTTCTGTTAAATATTTCATCCATCATGATGGAACATGATGTCCATTTCAAAAAAAATACATGTTAATTGCTCAGCTTCCAGCTAAACTAACTTCCATTCATGCTACAAAAATATTTAATCACGTGGAACCCAACAAGTTAAACAGAAGAACTGTAATATTGGGAACATGATCGAACAAACACGAATACACTTATCAAAACATGTACGGCATTATAAGCAGAAAACATATATCAAAAACCAATCAAAGAGATTTTGGGTGTAACACTTCTTTGCATTCCCAAGAGCACTAACATGTAAGGAATCCACCATTAAAATAAACTAACAGTAAAAAACATTGAATAATGAGTTTCTAGTTATTACACACCTGATCTTCTTCAAACGCTCAAGATCATCCCTCAGCTTCATGTCCAATGCATTTGAGACCACCTGAGAGTACCTGCCATCTTTGTAATCCTTCTTTCTGTTAAGGAACCAATCTGGGATTTTAAATTGACGAGGGTTGGCAACAATAACCATTAAGCTTTCAAGCTCTGCAGCAGATAACTCTCCAGCCCTATGCAACCAAACCCATAAATAAGTCCTGAATAAACTAATAGAAACACAATCCCAAGAGAATAGCATTACATATTCATAATAACTTTGGAATTTGTATAGTATACTACTAAATTACCAAAATAACAAGTGGTGGGTGCTTATAGAAGTCCTCACTTCTATACATACACACATACATGTACAAATGCCCTTGCACAAGATAAATAGAAAAATAAATGCCCATTGAACAATACATGATTGAAAACCAGCATGAAAGAAAGAGACTCCGATAATATATCTACCGCAACCATATAAAATAAATGAAATTCAATACAGACTCTTTATCCATAAAATATAAATTGAGTACCATCAGCCAACTTAAATGTGCAGAGAAAAGGGTATATAAACTTCAGGCAAAAAATAACAGATAAAACACAAATATCATAGCACAACTAAACAACGAATATGCAAAAACATTTAAAAATAACTGAAATAATGTAAAAAACCAAGACATAAATTGATATACCATTAAAATAAGCAGTGGCTTACTACACCACAAACATGTAACAAATTACAGTAAAATATATACAGAACTTCAACAAAAAAAGACACACACACAAGAAGGTTTACCTCTTGTTCATATCAATATCTGCCTTCTTGCAAACAAGGTTAGCAAAACGCCTTCCAATACCCTTAATGGAGGTTAGGGCAAACATAATCTTCTGCCTCCCATCCACGTTAGTGTTCAGAACACGAAGAATGTGTTGAAATTCCTCATTCGCAATCAGAGACTGGTTCATATCCAAAGTGTAACTAAAATCAGTACTGTTCAACTAACATACACAAATAATTTATCTCTTCAAAAGTATATTACAAATACACAGAAAGTGGGTAAAAGAGGGTTTTACACCATAACTCCTGCAAAATCAGAACAAAAACTGAAACAGGGAGAACACTAGATCTTTAAAACAGTTCAGTTTACACTAAAAAAAGTATCAAACAAGAGGAGCTAAGGATGTAAATCCAGGCATTCTATACTAGAGAGAAACTATAAATAAATGCACAATAGATCGACAAATAAATGGAGAATTAGGGTTTCAGGAACGAGAAATTTGAGGTAGTCGATGAAACCCACCATTGTTGGAGGCTACAGAGAAAAAGATAAATTAGGGTTTTCGAGGCCTTCAAAGGCAGAGAGGGTGAAGTTCTCTCAGAGACAACTGCAAGGTTGCATAACTAGGGTTTCGGCAAAGGTCTTATAGTGCGACTGAAATCAAAACAATAACGTTAACACCCCTCTTCGATATACTAAATTACGAATATGCCCCCCAGTACTCAAGTGTACATCGAAACAATAGTACATATGGGAAAGTGTGCGGTTTGTATAGAGCCGAGGCTCTACACAATCAAATTAGAGCTCACCTTCAAATAGTGTAGAGAAATATGGTTTTAATATTGGAAAGTTTTGTGATAGCTTTAAATAATATTTTTATCAATAATTATAAAATTTAAAGCTTCAAAAATAATATAGATCAAATAGATATATGAAAACTTGAAAATCTTGAAAATTGACGATCCAAAAATGCATTACAGAATGCACTATTTCAAAAACTTGAAATCCATTTTTTTCTGTTGTCCATGCATATTGATGTCGAGATAATCAATTTAATGATATTTTGACATCAAAACAACCTCTTTTAGTGAATGTTTTGAGGTAGGCTCTAATTTGATTGTTTACTACAATAGTCAAACAAAATACGTAGTCATAAGTTTTGTTGACCATCCGGTTAGTGGATGGGCGGCGATGGAGATAAAGTTAGCTCTAACAGGGGTCGAACAACACTTTCTCCATAACTGTTGATTTTATCAATTGGACAATGATGACTCTTATAAGATAAATAAATAAGGCAAAAGTTTTTATAGAGAAAGCTCTATGTTGGGTTTATGTGGCCTTTAAAGGCTTTATGAGTGTGTAATGAAAAACATTTATCACAGTAGAACATACACTCAGTAGGAGTGTGGTCCCTCGGGGATTATACCAAGCAAACGATATTTGCTGATATTGGATTGTGCTTGACGAGCTAGGCCAATCAGTTGGAAAACCCAAAGTACCTGGGCATAGAAAATAAACCGAAAAGCGTTTTAGGTTATCCCTTGATGAGGTCGGAGCTTATGTCTAGATGAGTGAGTCGAGGGATTGTGTGACCATTGTGTGTGACGGTAGGCTTATAAAGACGGGGGCCAAAACCTCATCCATCATTCATCACACGGTATGCATATTGATAGATCGTTCGGGAAAGGTAGATATCCACTTTTGGGTAAAGCATATGCATGTGCGAGAGATACCCCTATACACCATAGAGTTGTGGTCGCATTAGATCATGGTGATCATGACTCGTCTATAGGGAATGACCTATAATCTACAGACTAAGATTGTGACCTCTTGGCTCATTGGCTAGACTTTGGTAACCCGCTAATGAGCCCCTGCCTAGACTGTGGGTCATGGGAAACACTGAGTCCGTTTGACAAAGCAAGTGTGATTTATAGTCCACAGTTGAAGGTGGAGTGCCCATGATTGCAGATTGAATTTCTAAACCATATGGATCCATTTCCCATCAAATTAATTTAATAGTATTTGTTTTATAATATAAATTATTTTAAAATTATTATTTGAATTTTTGTAAGTTTTTTGATATTTTATTTATAATTTTTGGACTTATAAAAATTAAGTTATTGATTTTACGAAGTTATAAAATTCAAATAATGTCTTAAAATTATTTTGTTAATTTTAAAATATTTATAAAATCTCATGAAGGCCCATAGTGCATGTTGGCCCACTATGTGACAAATGGGTGGGGCCTACACATGCCACATATGGGTGGCACGCCCCACCCCTTGCCTGCCCCTTTTGTTACTTTGTGATCTAAGTTATTTATATTTGGAAAGTTGATCTTGTTGGACGAGGTCAAATATTATATGGTATATTTTAACCATATCTTATCTAATTGAGATAACAAATATTAATTTGATATCTTTTGAAATATTTTTATGGAATATATGAGATGGATTATGCAATTTTATGAAATGCATGATATTTTAATAGATTTAATTTATTTAAATAAATTGATGGGAAAATAGTTTAAGAAAAGAGGGATAATGGTCCATGCACCTTCCATAATGTTGATGGCCCATCTATGAAATGAATGGCTTGGATCTCTCACCCCACAAGTCACCCTGATTAACGGTCCATATTCATTCTCAATAAAGCGACAAACTATGAGAAACCTTAAACCTAACTTTGCATTATAAATAGGGGTGTACCCTCCCCTATTCTCTACACGTTTTCTATCCTACAACTCTCTCTCTCTCCTTAGGGTTTCTCTCTCTAATCCTCTCTCTCTCCTAAGACCCATATGGGACATGCCCCAACCCTAGGCCTCCTACTCTATCTCTCTCTCTCTTGACCTAAAGATATCAAGGGTTGGGAAATTAGGGTTAAGCCTAAGGTTAGGATTTTCTAGATATTTAATAATGCTTACTCAGTTTGGTCGAAATTAGCTTTCTCGATTCGAAATTGAAGTTAGATTGCTGATCCCGCGCCATCGAATGTTGGTGATTCGGTGTAGGGTGTAATAAGCCCAGTTGAAGTAATCTCCGGCATCTTCTTTTATTTCATGCAAATTTATCTTTATTATCAAGCATAGTGTTTAGTTGTATAAATTGCATCAAGTGGTTGAGTTTTAATTTATTGTTAAGTTGCCTTTATTTTGAAATATTTATTGATTGTAATAAGACCATTTGTAAGTGATATTTTTACCAAAGCAAAACGAGCGATTATTAAAAATAAATAAAAATTATATTCACCGTTAAAAGGTCACATATGGATTTCTTTCAATGGTATCAAACTCGTTTTACTTGATTGTCATTAAGAGCCTTTTTTTATTTTTGCTTGAGAATATAAAGATATGGTTGCCCGTACCTTCATCTCAGAGATCCTGAAACCGAAAGGTTTGATGAGATCAATTATGCTTCCTGAAAAAGAAAAATCAAATATGTGTTATATGAATAAAACTTGCATGAGGTACTATATGAGGACCGACCTCGTCGTCCAACTAACCACTCATCTCAAGAAATTAAATATGATTACGTCTGTTGGAAGAGGATGAACCTGAGATCCAAACACATTCTTTTATGTGTCATGACTAACTCGTATGTTTCTGAATACAAGTCAAACTACATTGCAAGTGGGATTTTTGATATACTTGAAAGAGAATATGTTGAATACTCTCTCATGAAGTAAATCATGGCTATAAAGAGGTATAATGAGTTAAAAATGACAGAAGGTACCAAGTTTGCATATCATGTGCATGTCATTCGCGTGCTAGTCAGAGAGCTAAAAGACACAGACATGAAACCCAATGAATCTATGCAAATAATTCATCTCATGAATTCAGTTCCTAATTCATGGGAGACATTCATATCTTCCATCTCAGCCAGAAGGAAGGCACCAAAATTGAAGGAGCTCATCAGTACCATTAAAGCAGAAGAGGAGAAGAAAAATTCAAGACAAGCACTGATAACAACTCCAAAGGAAGCCGTGCATATAGTAAAAACTCAATCTTCTTATATATTTAAGAAGAAAAGATAAGAAATTATTTTGAGAAGAGAAGATATTTAAAAAGGAGAGATTTTGGAAATAAGGGAGCAAAAAGAGAGACTCAAACCTATTTTATTTGCAAAAATGTGGGCCACATAGCCAATAGTTGTCGATTCAACAAATCTTGAGGGACCGACAAGGAATTGACATGTGTGGTCTTTGAGTCTATAATGGCTGACCCTAAGGGAACTTCTTGGTGTCTTGTCTCGGGGGCTACAGCCCATATCACAAACACCAATAAATGTTTATGTTCTCTCAATCCCAAGGGGTCAGGGCAACAACATATTTATATGGGAGAAACCCAAAAGACTAATGTACTTGGAGTTTGAGACTTTGAGTTGAAATTAAAGAGTGAGAGCAACATGATCCTAAAGTAAACATTTTATGTTCCTGATATGAGAAAGTATTTGGTTTAGGTTCCTAAGATGTCTATGACTGGATTCATGACCACTTTCATTAGGGAGAAAGTGGTGGTCAAGAAGGGGGAAATGTGATAATGACTGGATGTCTTGTAGATAAGCTATTTACTATTGAAATAAAAGATAACGTTGCTTATGTCTCGTTCCCTAATGAATTAGATGCTATCCTAATAAGACATATGAAGTTAAGACATATTAATAATAAAACGAATGGAAAGATTGAAAAATGATACATTCTTCAAAATGACCAGGGAGATTTATCGAAAGTGTGTAAATCTTGTGTGCAAGAAAAATTAATAAAGTAAAATACCACCAGGGCAAAAAGAGCTACTAGTGTATTAGAAATCATTCATAGTGACATATGTGGACCTATGAATGTGACCACCAAAAGTAGAAAAAGATATTTCATCACTTTTTATAGATGACCACGCGCAATATGGTCATGTGTGCCTTATTCATACAAAATCAAAAGCCCTAGAAAAATTCAAAGAATATAAGGCCGAAGTAGATAATCAAATCAACTTAAAAATCAAAGTCCTTAAAACCGATAGAGGGGGGAAATCTTCATCTGACATTTTCAAAAAACTCTACGTTGAAAATGAAAGTATCATCAATGTATCATGCCTTATACTCCCGAACAAAATAGTGTAGCTGAAAGACGGAATAGGACTTTAGTTGAAATTGTAAGGAGTATGATGGGGCATGCAAATCTCTCCTTAGACTTTTGGGGAGAAACACTGTTGATGGCATGATACATCTTTAATGAGACTCTCACAAAAGCTTCCCCACTTACTCCTCACGAAATTTTCACAGGTCGTACTCTCTCCTTTGATCACATGAGAGTTTGGGGTTGCTCAGCCCATGTCTTTATCCCACACCAAAAAAGAACCAAATTGCAATTTAAGACTGTCAAATCCATTTTTATTGGTTACTCAGATCATGGTAAGGGATATCGATTCTACAACCTTGAAACAAGAGTGGTCATTGAGAGTCGTGATGCTCATTTCTGCAAGGAAGAATTCTTTGCAGCGAAGGTGAGTAGAAAACAACCCGACTTCTTTAAGAAGGCGAAAAACAATGATGTAGTTCGAGAACCTGAACCTGAACTTGAGCTCCCTAAAGATAGTGACCGTTACCCGAACCCAGACGAATTAACCGAGTCAGTAGACC